TTCTATATGTGAAAGTCCAATCAGGAACTCTTGAATATAAAATTGATTTGTTAGTTTTAACGAAATCTACTTTTTCTTAAACTATTTTTTATATATTTAAGGGTAGGGTATTTGTTTACATGTTTTTTTTATGCAATGCGCAAATAAATATGCATATACAACCAAATATACAATTATAATTGGTTAATTTTGCAGATCATTAAATTTTGATTGGTTTATTTTCATACTATGCGCAAACAAATAGTAAACAAATACCCTACCCTTAATAGACAACCATTTTAATTTTGAAATTTAGTATTTTTCACCAATGGCGATATCACTACCTCTTATGTTTTTTATAAAATTTGGGGTTATGATAAAATTTAGACCAAGGTTAGAGTTAAATATAAAGATCCAAATTTTAGTTAGGATTAGGTTTTGGAGTCCCTGAACATTTTTACTTAGTATTTCTGACATGAGTTAGCTAGTAAGTTTTTGAGATATAGTATCCCGGTGGTATCACCATCGGCGATAAATAGCAATATCGATATTCTTAATTTTTAAAAACTAATTTTTAATTAATTTATTTAGCAGATGTAGTGATGGGCAATATGCATACCATGCGCATGATCATGCACATAATCATACGCATTATGCATATGAAATTATAGAATCATGCGCATGATTTTTATATATACTCATAATGCTAGCAAAGCAATATAATACTGGTAGATTATCTAATTACTATGCACGAAGTTATTTAAATAGTAGATTGGTGTGAAATTCTATATTTATTAACTTATTTATTGATGCTTATATTTGTTTATCATTACAATTATACATATATAGTTAATACGTATTAATAAAACTTTATTTATCATGAAGCCACTATAATATGTGCGGAATTGGGGATGGCTAAAGCCATGTATCCATGTGATTTTGCGTTTTATTAAAATTAAGATTAGGATTGGGGTTAGGTTGGTATTAGTATAAGTAAAGAAGTACATATAGATAAAATTGCCTTTCCGACCTTTTTAATTAGTGCTCCAAGACAGGTTTAGAATTCTGTTTTTCATCTTTTTGCGTTTTCACCAACTTCAGACCAATCTGTGTAAACAAAATTTCGTAATTCCGGTTGGTTGATTTATATGAAAAAGTTAAGTGGGTACATGGCTTTAGACAACTACCCCAGGATCACCGTCAAATTTTTACTTTCACATGATAATAATCCAATAGCGAGTTTCATTTTAATGTAACGTTACATGATCAGGAAGATCAAAACAAAATGTTCGCTTTTCAAAAATCGCTTATTTCACAAGAATTTGCATAAGAAATCATCTTTTGCGCTCTAATAAAAAAAAACTTAGCCCTATTATAAATGCTAACCCTAACTTAAATGAATTTAAAGATTTTTAAATGCTGTTACGTGAAAGTGAAAATTTTAATGGCGATACTGGGTAAGATGCTTCAGACCCCCGGAACTGTTAATAGATTCTGAAATATTCCAAAACCTCATAAAAGATTCTGAAAAATTTCTATGTGCATGAAATGCGCATTATGCGCATCATGCGCATGAAATTCGAAAAAATTGGAATTTGCACATCACTAAGCAGATGGTAGAAAATAAGTGTATGTCCCTCAAGCTAAACAAAGTTGTGCCGCCATTTGAATTAGATTAACAGTGAAGTAACCCTTCATTGTGAATCCGACAACAATATATGGGGGGTCCTACAGCAAAAGGTAGCTATGGGCAGATCATATGATCGTGAGAAAATTGTAATTTAGGTTTATCATGTGATTACGAAAAAATCATAACAAAATTTCTAATTTTTGAAAGAACAGGGTTTATTATATGATCACAAAAAAATCATGATGAAATTTTTAATTTTTGAAAGAATGGTACTTACAATCTTGAATAAATTTTTTTTTTAAACATTAGCACCTCACGTGTTATGTTTACTTAAAAATGATTGGCTGACACATATCGTGAAGTGGCACATGTTCATTTGCCCGGTTAAACAGAATTACCATTATTCAAAAATTGTCAATAATTTTGAACTCATTCTATTCTCTGAGGCATCTTGATGCCGTTGGAGAATGAACTGAGTTTAAGATGTACTAACTTTTTAATGAATTGTATTATTTTTGCACATGATGTACAGTAACTGATTCGAGACTAGTAAACCCGGCTATTGTAAATCCTAAGTTTTAGATTAAAGAATTTATGACCATAAAATCAATTTTAAGTATTTCATGAATCAACAATATGTAATTTCCTTTTTATTTTATTTATTTTTTTTTGTTTTGAGTTGCATTTTGCCAACCCAATAGCACAACATAATAAAAATGATTAGAAGAAATTTTGATAAAGAGGAAGGAAAAGAATCAAAAATAAAAATATATACATATTTACAAAAAAAGTGAGTATAAAAACTGTTAATTGAAAAGTAATAGTCGTAGAAATGAACAAAATACATAATTATAAATGAGTGTAACAAAGGATGGTTAATTCTGAAAATGCTAGTGTATTGCTTATAACCCAGCTGCTAATATTTTTTCAAGAGTTTGTTTTTGTCTATATAATGCATTTATCCTATTAGGAATTAAAATAAATTCAATAAATCAATTTTTAAAGAGATATTAATGACGCTTTCTAGTTAGCAAAATATATTTTTACCTTTTCTCCTTTTTCAATTTTTCGCTCAAATAGACACAAGATTGACTCAAACGATTGATTTCATCAAGAAGAAAAGATTCTTTACTTGACTGATTCTTAATATGCAAGGCATCTTTCACAAAAAAATAGACAATTATTTGTGAATTCTCTGAATTACTTTCATTGCTAAATATAAATTTAGAAATTGTGATCACCTTTCTGAAATAATTTGGCTGTACTCATCTTGCGTCTTGTATAAGTGGTCGGGAGCTGTCTAAGGAGTTCTTCAAAACCATCTTTGATTTTAGCATGTCATTTTTGCTCTGATTGGATGTTCTTTAGACATTTAAACTTGGCATGTGACAATGTACTGTGGTTAAAAATAAAATCAATTGTGATGTAAAAATATAAAATTATTATAGTGTATTCATATACCTGCTTGTGTCCTCACTATCATCTCCATGTGACCTATCACGTGACTTTCTCCTTCTGCTATGTTTCTTTTTTTGATTTTCGTATTCTCATTTAAACCAAAATGTATGCGAGTAATTCATCTTTCACTTTATTCATTTCTTTCTTTTGTTATCAGTTATTATGAATATACTGAAAGTATAGTATTAAATGCGTTCGATTTCTAAAAAAATAGACAAATGATGTTTTACCTGGGCTTAAATTCACAGGGGTTTGAATAACTACTTCAGGTGGAAATACAAAACTTGAGGAAAACTGCATGTTCTCAAAATATGGTATATACTATATTTATCCTAATAGTTATTTATTACATATAATACTTGGTGTAAAAGCAAAGATTTTTGTATTATAACGATTGAAATTACAACTTTTTAATTATAATTAAAAAGGTGTTTTGATTATTCTTTCTTGCCAAGGAGGAACGATTCCAATTTATCTGATTTTATATAATTTTTTATATAATAGATAGTTTTTTGTATAATTATCAATACAAGCATATATCAAGGCTAGCCTTAAATTTTTCAAAGAGTAATAAACAACATAGTTCAAATAACTTTCTGCAAAACCTGTTAATTTAAAGCAACAAATAACTTGTTTTAATTATTATAACTATAAACAAGTTTAAAAATATGTAAAAATCTGTAATATAAGTTATAGTATCAGAATAAACTGAAAATCTACAATACAATTATAACTGGGATTTTATAGAAAAACAAGTGTTCTTAACGTTAATTCATAAATTGGCACATATTGTTAAAACTTCACGACAATTTATATTTTCGAAATACAAGGTATTCTGTTTATGAATTTGCTTAATTATATTATAAATATTAAAATAAATATATTGTGCCTCAGACTAATGCTTGCAGCTGAATGAATTAAAGTTAGAATAAGGTAAAAATAATGATATAGTTTAGGCAAATTAGTATCAATTAATGCTAGACAAACATTCAATATCTGAGGTGTGTCAGCTATAATCAGGAGCAGATTCTTATAATATATATTTTATTAAATTAACATTAGGGTTAGGGTAGGATTTAGGTAGTTATATATAAGCAAAATTGCCTTCCCAACATTTTCAATTAACCTATCTGAGGCAGGTTTAGACTGCCGTTTTTTGTATTTTTCGAGTTTTTCGTTATTATTTCTTGTTTTGCTTCGCTGGCAATCATCAAAATTCTATAATTTGATTGGTCAAGTATCACATGATTCTACTCTACTTTAGACGACCCCCAAATTTGGCATATATATATCTCTTTTGAATCATATTTTATCGTTATTTAAATTCTCGAAATAACAGGCATGGGCTAGAGGTGCGATCTGTAAACTAGTAGTTAATATAAATAAACTGTAGTTTATTGTAAAACTGTAGTTTTACAATAAACGTCACTGATGGGATAAAGTTTTATTAGTAAATTGTTAAAAGATCACTAGATATGCAATTCATAATTTATATATTGCAGTTTATTTATATTAACTACTAGTTTACGGATCGCACCTCTAGCATGGGCAAAATTACACCCTGGGTAGTTGTATGGTAGTAATTTCAAAAACTGTTTTAAATCAAACATGGCACTAATATAAAACACTAATTTAAATTTGACATATATATTATTTTTCTGTAAAACTGCATCCATGGAAGCACGTGAAGTAGAATTAACGAGTGACTTTAAATTTATGATAAACTGTAGAAAATATACATAATATGTATAATATCTATAACATAATTAATGTACATGTGAAATTAAGATTATAATAAAATTATATTTAAATGTAATCTGAACGATTTCATTGACATTTAAAGACTATGAAATTTTCTTGCAAATTTATGTTCCAAGATAATTATATTTGAACAAAATTACTTTTCCAAAAAAAACTAGATGAAAAAAAAGTTATGGCTTCTCATAAATCTTGCCGACATACTTGTTCTGATGATCTAACATCGAAAGAAAATCTTGATAAATTCTATGAAGAACATATTAAATTTTTACTAAGAGAAAAGAAGCGATTAGAAAAATTTTTCAGAGAGAATGGAATAAGTGGAGAAAACTTAGAAATCAAATTGAGAGAGTTGGAAAGGATCATAGAAGAAAGAATTCAACTTAGAGAAAACATACAATATCTTAAATTAACCCAAGGCATTGCATATAATTTGATAAATGAGCTTCACGCTAAAAAAAGAAACCTCCAAGAAGAAATCCGACAACTTGAACAAGAGAATTAACAACTTCAAACAGATCTTGAATATGAAAGACACAATAACCGGTGAACTATCGATAGTATGCAAACTCAAATTACTAATTTGCAAGAAAGTATCGAAATTTATAGCACAGAACTAAATGAACAAGGTAATGACCAAAAATCTTGACTATATTGTTTAATTATAAATAATAACACATACTATTCATAGGTATTCATACAACTCCGATGCTCCGAAGGCAAGATGCATTCTATTTTGAAAACGAAGAAGGACTAGAAATGGATGATAGTGATTAAATAAATAATAAATGTATTGGTTTTATTAAAAAAAATTAAAATATAATATTTTTGAGTCTCTATCAGGAATAGTTTATCATCATATAGAGATAAATGTAATGTTTATAATAATAAAGAGTTCCACCGGATCTGCTATTCACTATTACAACCAGCTTATCACGTTATAAAAATCATTAATTAGCGAAGAGTTCCACCAGATCTATGATTCAACTAATTTAAGAATAAGCTGGTTCGCAAGTTCTATGTGATAAATGTATAAGTGAATATATGAAATAAAAAACAAATAAAACATGATTTAACTTCCTTTTGGAATTAGTTTTATCTTATGTTCATTTGCAATTGTCCGAATTAACTTTAATATTCAAGTTTATAGTTTATCTAATACAATAAAATTTTTATCTGTTTTTAAACTTTGATCGATTTATTAAATATTGCAGAAATATTAGAAAATTGGCTTATTTCTTATGTTCATTAATACGGTTGCATTGGTTTACAAAAGACCAGATTAATTTGTATACATGAGTACAAGTCTTTTTTATGATGGTAAAAAAAACAAGAAATTTTAATCATATTTGTCTAAGTAATTTGCATATAAATAAACTGTATTTTAAAACTATAGTTAACTATAGTTTTAGAGTAAACTAATGGTTTATTTATATTAATTGT